TATATATTTTAAATTTTATTTTATGTGTATGAGTACTTTCCTGGCATGTATGTGTACCATGTGAGCATCTGATGCCTGAAACTACAATTACTGGCAGTTGAAACTCAATATGTTTATGCTGGAAATCACAGTTGGGTCCTCTGTCAAGGTATGCCTATAATCACAACACTGAGTTCCAATCTCAGAATTCAGGAGGCAGAAGCAGGCAGACTTTGTGAGTTCAAGGACAATTTGATCACAGCCAGAGCTATATATAAAGATCCTGTCTCAAAAACCAAAATGACCTGCTTGCACTAACATATCAGTTTACAAAGCATTGAGTATCAAGCCTTAACCTTCCTGCATGCTTGACAGGCTCTGTACCCACAGAGTTATATCCTTAGTCTCAAGTCAGGTTTTCATCCCCACCATTTCACTAAAAGTATTCTTGTTTGTTTTGTTGCTGTTGTTTTTTGAGACTGGGTTTTTCTGTGTTGCCCTGGCTGTCCTGGAACTCACTCTGTAGACCAGGCTGGCCTCGAATTCACAGAGATCTGCCTCCTGAGTGTTAGGATTAAAGGTGAGTACCATCACCGCCTAGCTCCACAAGTATTCTTTTTTGTCTTTTTTTTTCTGGAGACAGGGTTTCTCTGTAGCTTTGGAGCCTGTCCTGCAACTCTCTCAGTAGACCAGACTGGCCTTGAACTCAGATCCACCTGCCTCTGCCACCCGAGTGCTGGGATTAAAGAAATTCACCACCCCCACCTGGCTCCAAAAGTATTCCTTTTGTTAAGATTTATTTATTATGTATATAGTGTTCTGTCTGCATGTATGCCTGCACACCAGAGGAGGGAACCAAATCCCATTATAGATGGTTATGAGCCACCATGTGGTTGCTGGAAGAGCAGCCAGTGCTCTTAAACCTCTGAGCCACCTCTCCAGCCCCCACCCAAAGTATTATTAGAGTTACTAATGATCCCACTTTTTCCGTTCTCTTTGGTTTTAGAGATACGTTGCCCAGTTGTTACAGGTTTCCCAGGCCACCCTCACTTTCCTCTGTAACTGGGATAGTTGGTGTAACCCACCATAGCTGAATACAACCTGCCTTTCTACTTTCAGTGGTCTTTCTCTTTATTTATTTATTTATTTGTTTATTTATTTATTTATTTTGGTTTTTTGAGACAGGGTTTCTCTGTGGCTTTGGAGGCTGTCCTGGAACTAGCTCTTGTAGACCAGGCTGGTCTCAAACTCACAGAGATCCGCCTGCCTCTGCCTCCTGAGTGCTGAGATTAAAGGCGTGCACCACCAACGCCCGGCTTGACCTTCCCATTTCTATGACCAGCTTTATACTAACAGAGCTATATCCCTACCCCTAACATTTATTTTTAAGTGATAAGTAAAAACACACAAATCGAAAACTAAAGACAAAACAACAACCACCATAGAAATCAGCCAAGCATGTGTTCCAAGGAACTTAGGCAGAGGTAGGAATAATGAAAGCTCAAAGTCTACATGTGGTCAAGTCAGCCAAGACAACTTACTGAGACCTGTCTTAAAATAAAAGAGTGGAAAGAGGGCTTGATGTGTAGCTCTGTGCTAGAGTATTCGTCTAGCATACACGAGGCTGTAGTTCAGTTCCCACTGGGTGGGTGGGTGGCTGTGAGGGAGCAAAGCTGGGTGGTGGTGCTCGCCTTTAATCTCAGCACTCAGGAGACAGAGGCAGGAAGATCTCTGAGTTTGCGGCCAGCCTGGTCTGGTCTGCAGAGTGAGTGCCAGGACAGGCTGCAAAGCTACACAGAGAAACCCTGTCCTGAAGCTTGAACTCACAGAGATCCTCCTGCCTCTGCCTCCCAAGTGCTGGGATTAAGGGCGTGTGCCCGGGTTTACCAGAAGATTCTTTTTAGAATGGTTTGAGGATTATGGGAAAGCTATCCTTTAGAAATGCTGGCCACTGTATTGGAGAAGCTGGGATAATAGATCCAACAGCAATTCACAGAACAAAGGAAATACTTGACTTTTATAGACTTTAGAGCCCTTGTTCTCAATCTTCCTAATGCTTTGACCCTTTGACACAGTTTCTCATGTTGTGGTGACCTGCGACCATAAAATTTTTTCCGTTGCTACTTCAACAGTTATTTTGCTAGTTATGAATCATAATGTAAATATCTGTGTTTTCTGGTGGTCGTAGGTGACCCCTTTGAAAGGGTCGCTACCCAAAAGTTGAGAACCGCTGCTTTAGAGAGAGGGCTTCCTGAATTCAGTTGCTTAGCCCAGATGCTAGACAGGATAAGGGACCTTAACTAAGGTTGTCTTGGGCTTGGGTGGCAGAAAGCTAATGCTACTATTCTGACCGATGTTGAGCAACTGTTTCATGATAGCCGAACTCAGGTTATTTTAGACCCATGAGAGAGAAGGTTTAACTAATCCCACTTACAGGGGCCACATTTGTGAGATAACTGAAAATGAGAACGATTTTTAGTTACCAGTCTGATTTATCTTACAAACCAGAAGTACTGTTGGGGGAGATGATACAATGTCTAAGGGTGATGCAGACAATAGGAGCACTCCCTAATCTGTTCCTGAAGTAACTCCACGGGTTTGGGTGTGCTCCATCACTCCCAAGGCACAAAGTTTCTGTGGGCAGTCTGGAGGGCAGCTGGGTAGTGGAGAAAGATGGGCATGCAGGAGCCTTGGGCTCAAGTGCTTGGGGGAACGATTGCAGGGTCACTTCACGACACCCTGCAAGTGGCTACAATGAGGGACGGTGAAAGTGGAAAGCGGTTTCCTAATTATTCGTGTATGTTTCCAGACGAACTGTGGCAAGTGTTCCGACAGGAGGCTGGGGGGGGGGCAGAGGGGGATGGGTGTCCTAAGTTAACAGCTCAAAGTTTAGCTCCAGAGAGACTGATGGCACACAACCGGATGAACCACCTAGGAAATCCCGCCCTCACACCCTCCCCACCCCGCCAGCCACCGCATTCCTTCAGGGCGACTTTGTCAGCACCCTAAAGTGTCCCACATGAGGTCACTCTGCCCGGTCACGTGCTCGGCACCGCCGGAGCGCCACATCGCCAGCCGCACCCCCGCCACCCCATCGCCCACGTGACCCGGCCTAGTTTTTCCCTGTGCGGGACCCAGGGGCTCCCGGGAAGCCCCGCCCCTCGCCAGAGGCTCCGCCCGCGAAGCGCCGCTCTTCGCCCTCGGGGACTGGCGCGTGGCACCGCGCTCCACGTGTTTTCCTCCGCCCAATCAGAGTCGGCGTCCGGGCGTGAAGGGGCGGGAGGAAGGAGACGACTTGGTGGCGTCGCGCGGAGGGGGCGGGGCCTGCAACGTCGGCCCGAACGAGGGGACGCAACGGAGGCAGGTCGGAGCCGCTGCCGTCGCCATGACCCGTGAGTGCTGGGAACCTTCCCTCTCTCGCCCTTTTCTTTCCGCTCTCGCTCACGGCACGGCCGGGCGCCGGCGTGTTCGTTCCTTCAGCTTCTCCGGCGGAAGGTTCTGGAGGGAGCGCTCTCCGGCTGCCTCCCGGCCAGCCCC